GGGAAAGCAGTGAACACATCACTGAAATTTTCATTCATTCATTCATTCATTCATTCATTCATTCATTCATTCATTCATTCAGTTTATATTCTGCATTAATTAGTCCAAAGCAGGCAGCTGTGCAACCATTCCTGAAAATCCCCTTGGCTAGATCCAGAGACTGACTGTCCTTCACTCACATGCACCCTGTTCCTGAGTGAGGTGCAGCATTTCAAGGCACTTTTTCCATGAAACTGATTATCTGGACTAATTTCAGTATGGGCTTAAGGCACGTTTTGGGATGGAAGTGGCATTGACAGCCTGATGCAATGACCTGCTTTGGAAAAGGGACAGGGAGCGTGTGACCCTTTGCTGCTTCTCAGCAGCTTTTGATTCTGTTGACCATAGTATCCTCCTGCACTGTCTCTGTGAGCAGGGAACTGGAGTCACTGTTTCAACTTGTACTTGACCGGTCAGTTCCAGAGAATTGCCTTTGGTGATTGTGCCTTGGTCACTTGGCAGTTGGGCTGTAAGGTGCCACAGGACACTATTTCGTCACTAATATTATTTATATATGTGAACACAGAAGGGTATCACCTTTTTAGAAAGGACAGGAAGGGAAAGGGGGGTGGGGGCATGGCTTTATACGTCAGGGAAGGGATAGGATGCAGTGATATAGAATGCAGCACAGATGGGGATTCGGTAGAGGCAGTCTGGGTGAAACTTAGGGGTTTTGACAGGGAAAGAGAACTGACAGTGGGGGTAAGTTACCGCCCTCCAGGTCAACTTGAGACCCTGGATGATGTCCTGACAGGCCAGATTCTAAGGCTATCTCAGGGGAGAGACACAGTAATTATGGAAGATTTCAATCTCCCGGATATTAATTGGGAGACTCACTCAGCAGTGACAGCCAGGTCACGTTGCTTCCTAGAAGCTATAGAGGGAGGGTTTTTCACACAGAGGGTCCGAGAGGCGACGAGGGGGGGAAACATCCTTGACTTGGTCTTGACCAATAGGAAGGAGCTGATAGATGAGGTACAGATTAGGGAAGCTCTGGATGTGAGTGATCACTCCATCCTTTGCTTTGAGATCAGGGGACTGTGGACGGGCAGCTGGTCGAGCACTAGAAGCTGGGACTTCAAGAGGGCCAACTTT